TCTAATCATGACGGTGTCTGAGCGAATAATCTTAAGGTCTATCGCGGCTAGCTAATCATGGCGATCTTCGGTCATCACAGCAAGCCTCAGAAACTACATCGGCCGCCCTTCGATGAAAAAATAAGAGTTGCTCTGATATCCTTTCCGATGCGTTGAGTGGAAAGTCACATCTGTCACTGCAGCCGAGTTTTGCGGAGCTGTCATCCCGAGCAATCTTCATGTTCCGGTGAATTCGGCTGTCGTTCATTCAAAAAACACTTGCCCTGAACAGTTTGTTTTCTACCTTGTCATGTGAAAAAACTCGCGTGTTTTTATGAGCCATAATTCGGCTGAAGTTCACTGAACATTTCACTTCAAGATTCTGTATTAGAGACTTAAAAACTTCAGGCAAAAGTGTTAAATTCGACCTACCGAACTATTTTAGTTTGTAATGAACTTTGATGGTTTTTTAACTTTGATGGTTTGACACTTTTGACAGCTTTAGTCTTGAACAGCCAATCAGATTATTTGAACCATTCTAACAGGGATTCTGATTGGCTTATTGTAGCGTGCTTTATGAGAGTATAGAGCATGCTGACGACACTGTTATTCGCTTTGGAAATAAAGTTTGTTTTGAAAATTGAAAGTAATGCTCGGGGAATTTAATGGATTCTTTATTATAAAACAAATAGCTTGTTATTATAAAGCACTTAGTAGAGCACTTTCGACTACGTCTCGTGTTTCTCCGTATTATAATAAAGTTCGGATGTAACGCGCGCTGTCATTGGTTGAAAGAGCGTGCTCTATGAAAGTATAGAGCATAAAACTGAGCTAAAGCTGTCACGCCATCTGCCAATCGTACTATGTTCGAACTTTTCCTTTACTTCTTTTTAGCTTTTTCCCGATAATTGAAAGTGAAATTTCGGAACTGAAGCGAGCCGACAAGTAGCAACAGAAGAATCAAACAAAGGTTTGTAAACATACCAGGCGCCGTAATTTACGTTGTTAAAACGTGAGCAGATACGAAAATCCTCAAAGGAAAAACAAAATAAACATTCCGAGTTTTAAAGATTTTCATGCTCAGTTAGATTGCAAGCTTACGTACGGTAATAAAAATCAAACACGGCTAACACTCGTATAGTATCCATCCTCTCCACCCATTTATTAATGCTTTCAGCAAGACACACGCAGTGTACATGAATTGATAGTTCCTTAACGTAACATGGAAAAAGGATTGATTTTCTTGGAAACCTAACATCAGCTTGTCGTTCAATTAAATGAAACAATATCCTACTAATCCAACATGTGTCATGTCCTTGAAATGTACCAAAGAATTTGAAATGTTAGAAAACAATGAAAACAGAGGAAAAAGAAAGTGTGTGATTTCATTCACAAGCCAACTTTCTTGCATTACAAGGGAAAACGATATGCTTATCAGGAATTTATCAACTGTACTAAACAATATACATGAGTAACAGCAACATCACAGAAAGTTAAGTGTTAGCATCTTTCATCACGAAGAGGCCAAGACAAGATGAATGACAGCTCGCATTCTTGACCATACAAAAGCACCACTGAGACGGCAGTAAATAAATTAGTACTCCTAAAATTTCACTTTTCCCTGACTTTTTTCAAAGATGTAAACTTTCCCTGACTCAAAGTGAAATTCCCTGACTTTTCCCTGACCTTGAAGAATTTTTTTTTCCCCTGACTATTTCCTGACCTGTGGCAACCATGTATTAGTGTTTCGAAAACCAGAGGTAAACAAAATCGATGCTCTTTTCGGTAAAACAAAATATCCGACACTAACATTCCAACTAAATATTTTGGAAGATATCGATGGGATAGAAATATCTGTCTTCGGTCATAGGAAGGCTAGAAAGCGTTATCCACCAGATAACTCTCTGTCCAAACCATATTACGTTACGCTCTGGATAGCAATTTATCGGGTGGATAGCGTTATTCAGCCTTCCCACAACCAGGCCCTAGATTTCAGCCAATCATCTGTTTTATTGCGGTAACAATTGGATGTAATTGAACAACTTTGGGATACTACACAGTGATTCTAACAAACTTGCCCTGGAGACAAATTCTCGCAATACTGATCACCATACAGTAAACTATCAAAAAGTTGTTTTCGTCAAGAGATGGTTATGCAACCGTAAAAGTGATAAAATTTTCCAATTTTCCTTTCTTCAATACAAGGTATCCTCTGAGAGTTTTCGAACGTGCAGTTGCTCCTGTGAGAGGGTCTAAGAGAGATTAATTTAGAGACTTGAACTTCTAATATTCTGGTTTCCAAAAATTTGTCGCTGAGGCGAATTTCTACTGACTTGTCTTACTTCGTTGTTATGCTCTTGCCTTTGAGCTAAAAGATCGTGGAAAAGCTAAGGAAAAGTATGGAAGTTCTTCGCTCATTTGAAGCCTGTGAGAAAGTGTGCAGTGATGGAAACTCGTAGCTTAACTCGACGGAAGTGAGCTTCACACTCAAAGCAATCGATAGGCGATATCGCTCGAGCGTAAGGTCGGCAAGCTGACATTACTGGATAATGGCCAACTTTGTTCCTATTTTTCTCCCTTTTTTCATCACTAAAGAATTCAATCGAATTAGCCGAACTCTTCGCGACTTCCACTTTTTTTGACAAGCCTTCCTTACTACAGACATGTCTTGAATAACAAAACAATGCCCTGTATGTTTATTAGAATTACAAGAAATACACTACATTACTCAGGCTCGGTACATTTCTCAGGATGCAAGATCAAAGCGGTCCGAACAATCGCGAACAGCCAAGACTGGTACAGTTTACCTACTTTAAAATGTTCCAGGGAAATGGTAACGACGTGCGAAAGAGTAGGCGGCCAGATAAATGGTGATTGTGGATGCTGCCTGACGTCCGCCGTTTTTTCGCCCCAGCAACCGCTTTTTTGCTGGCCGCTGTCCTAGGCAAACAAGAAGAACACAAAACTCATGTAAACTATCGAATACAGAGTTATATTCCTCTAACTCTAAACGATATAATTACAAAATTCTTAACGGTATTTTTTGTGTATCTATTTTTTTATTGTTTTCTATAAATAGCCACATTTCACCTGTGGATTAAGCTTCCTATCGGGGTTTTTCATTGACAGTTATCGATCAATTTCGAATACGTTCAACTTCTCTACCACTCTTTTGGGTAGAAGCTCTCCATACTCCGTGTGCTACCAGAATTCAATATAGATCAATATACGCCCGCTGCCCCGTGCCTATTCCTACATGATTTCCTTGTTGCTCAACTTTGTCTCACGTATTCGTTATATTTCGCTATCGAAACTAAGCTGGGTGTCTAATAAAAGATGTTTATAGGACTCAATATGGGAAAAACGTCGTGCGTGTTTCTCGTGTTCTTGCTATACGCCTTCCCGCGATTGCCTCAACACACTTTAAATTCCAAGTTAAATTTGCATGATAGCATCACGATTCTAGAAGAATTTGCATTCAAAGTTGTGTCTTGTCAAATTAGAAATTTTTTTTATCAAAGGCACTCCTTCATAACTCTTAAACTTGGGTCAATCTCGTGGGAAAATGAAAATCGTGGCCTTAACAAAGCTGAAAATAATAATAGGGTCGACTTCCCCAATCTCTTTCTCAGTTTTAAAAGCGAAATACGACAGCTGATCAATGAAAATAATTCCTTTCATGTATTCAACGCCATTTGGTTTTGAAAGCTGAGGTCACCTTCTCAATTTACTAATTTCTTTCTATATTTATTTTTGATCTTAAGTTACCACCCCATTATTATTTTTAATGATCAAATGTCACGAAACATCAAGGAAAAAAATGAATCCGTCGTTGACGCACAAATTCTGAAATGGGGGTGGAATTCGTTATTAAACGCCCTCGTTAGTTGTTGATTACGGTTTATTACCTCACTTTAGAACTATCCAGCTCTTCGAGACTTCCCAACTTCCGAGTCAAGATATACTTTGCCTAGGATCTCAGCAGATCCTAGTCGGTTGAGTTTAGAGCCCGTGAAGAAGCTTCGTGTGGTGGGAATTTGCACGCTGGTTGCTGGGCCTGTCTCTCAAAACAAGCGTGTTTTCAAAAACGAAAAGTTTTGACGTACTCTTCTTCTGAATACGCAAATAGCGTTGGGTTGCTTCCGACAGACGGGCGGCATGAATTGGCGTCATGCGATCATTGATTAAAATAGGGCAGCATTGGTACATTTCAAAACAAAAGATTAACCGACAACCGAAAAGAAAAATATGAACAAAATCTATAAAAACTGAAAAAGAGCAAATTGAAGATATTGAAACTCAAAGTACACATTAACAGGAGACGAAAAATCACCTTAAAAAAAAACAAACAAGCAAAAAAAAAAACCAGACAAAAAACCAGAAGTTCCAATGTCGTATGTTTACAATTAAAATCGACCATTTTCGATTCTGAATATTAAGAAAATTGAATGCGAATGAAATTGAACATACCAAAAGTTTTGTTTTCGAATGGTAAAAAAAACAGCATCGCTTACGTCATTTTCAGCTACGTTGTTGGTCTTACAAGTTCCCGGAGGAGTCATTCCCATCAAGAGAAACCTTTTTACTCCTCCTGTCAATATTCCTATAAGGCTCTTAAAAGCTCGTGGAAGCAGACAAATATCATGCTTCGGACACTCATTTCAGAGCTCTTCAAATGGTCACTCACACACACACACCCTCTTACAAAATTAGACAGGTTTCCGGTCCCGCCTAAGACAATTAAACGAACTTCTTCGATACTTCGTCAGTTCTGTGTTTGTGTCACTCATTCCACAAGTCGTATCGCTGTGTTTGTGTCGCTCATTCCACAAGTCGTATCGCTGATCTCTTTAAAAGTGCGGACAAGCAGGTGAAAGCATTTTAATTTTCCCAGTTCAATTTACCTCGATGAATTTTTCAAGTCACGTTCTGGTTTTGAGATTGCCATCTGCCTGATCAGTTCTAAGTATTTACTCTGGTTCCAGGCCCCTGCAGAAGAGTATTTAATAAACGTGCATAAAAACTTGTGCTTAATTATCTTCTACGACCACCGTTGTCAACATTTTTCTTCAGATCCCAAAGAGGAAAGTGTATTTTGGAATTTTTAGCAAGATTTCTCTACGAGACGCAAGTATTTATCTACAACCATTTCGAAATTCGAGCAGGCCCAGAAGGGAATCTATTTAACTCTTTCCAGTATTTCCGAGAGGTTTTGATGAGATCCAGATAAGTGAACTAATCTATGATTGCGAAGGAACTTCTACTACTTTTTGTTTTTTGCGGAGTGGAATTTACCTCTGCTGTATCGGAACAATGGGAACAGAGATCGCAATGCCGTAACCAGACGGTAGTTTGTCCTTGCAAGGACAGGCGAGGAGTGAGTGGCCATGTGCTTGTGGTAACGTGTAGTGATCAAAACGATCCAAAAATTCAAGTTTGCGGAGGGAAAGCTTTATACTCAGGGGAGTGTGGAAAAGGTGAGTTTGTTGCAATTTTAGTGCAATTTAAGTTTTATAATTGAATTACGGTGTTACTTTAATGTGATTTGTTAAGCTTAACTTTGTGGAGATCTCTTGTGATAAATTTTTTCAGCCATCTAGTGGACTGTATTGCCAAATTGGTTGTGAAATTGGAAAAGTAAGTGGTGGAGGAGGAGGGCTACCATTTCATTGCAGTAGTAAGGCAAAGACTCCAAGGAGTGTCATTTAACGCCTTTCCGCTAGTATCGTGAAGTCACAGTAAATATTTGATTTCATCCGGAAACTTCCGTTGTCAAATTATATTTCCAAGATTACTAATTGATTTGATATCACCTCAAAACCCTCGAAAGAAAGTAGCTTAAAGAATTGCGAAAAAAAAACATGATTATAATAAATAAAGAGATAAGGTAAAGTAAGTGATGGAGGAGGAGTAGCGCTCGTTGTTTGTATTTTGACACCCTGGAGTCTAGTCAAAATACGGCATAACTCGTAAAAATATTCAGCGATACTACATACCAAAACATCTAATAAGATATGTTTTAAAATATATTTACATGGAGTCTACGCTTAATGCAATCAGCTTTAAAAGTTTACAGATAATCCAGAGTCTTCCGAGGTAGAAGTGTTAATCCTAAACTAACATTAAATTCTTGTTACTAAGTTACAAGATGTGTAGCCGCTAGAGGGGAGAATTAATTATCACTTTGAGCTTGGGAGTGAAAGGGTTAAAGAGTTCTTTGTATGGAAGTTTCATATACATACATGCAGAATTTTTTCCCCAAAATTATTGCTGTGGTGAATTTGCTGGCACAAATTTGCACACAGGATTTCTGAGTTACAGTATGGCTGCTTGTCACACCCTCTTTGGATTGTTATTGTGATTCAAGACTATAATCAGCTCTTCACATAGTGAAATATTAAACATTTCAATATCATAAATGAAAGTGGAGAGGCATTCATTGTTCTTATATACCTCTTGTACAATACAAATGCAGGAGTAAGGTTGGTTGAGTGACCCAATCTATTCGTTGTAAAAATGCACACACCAATTTGTATGCTCTTTTCCTTAGAGAAGCTTTAATTTTCGTTCAGCCTGTTCTCTTGGGCCCTAATATCTCCCTGGAGAGGATGCCCAAGGAAAGTGAACATATGCACAGTGGTGTTTAAAACCTTAAACTCCCTAGATCCAATCAGTAATTCTTCCTACTGACTGCCAATATTTCCTGTGTACTAGGCAAAGCAGAAATTGTCATGTAGCCAATTAGCTTGTTGGTTCTCTTGGCTTGTTTGCGAGACAACATATTATTGGAATCATATAGTGAAATTACATGTTTTCACTTCAAGGTGATAAATGGTTAAAACCCTGACAAGGAGAATTTGCTTAATGTTCAAGATCTTTCTGAAGTTGGCAGTTGTTTCGTTTCCTCTTATGACCTTAGTCTCTTTGTCTCTGATCAAGCAGTTTAGAAGCTTGTCAATCTTAGAGGTATCTGAAGGTTTCACCCAATGCAAGTTTCCCCCTACCACCTTTTAAGAGTTCACCCCCTGAAGGAAAGCGAGTTTACCCTCAAATCTGTCATCTTGGTTTCAAACAGCAGAACTTATTCTTTTCTGTCTAAATCATAATATGTATCAAGTAACATGTTATTTTTTTTGCCATGGCAAACACAATAAATAGCCAAAAAACGACAGGTTCAATGAAGGACAAGTGCAAATAGCAGACTATGAAATAAGCAAATTGGTTTGTGGTTCAGATCTGTGTTGGCTCCTGAAGATGCTATTTTCAGTTTACAATAGAACCTTGCTAACTTGAATTCCCATGGGAAAGAAAATGGTCCAACTTAGCTGGGGTTCAAGGTATCAGGGTTCAGGCATTGAATTTCAATTATCCTGTTTATAGTTATTTAAGAATCATGTTTTTTAACCATTCTAATACAATCAATGACCACTTTTGTACATTTAGTTTGTTTTATAAAAGCCTTTTGATGGGAACATTAAGTGCAGGAAGTTTAGCTAAATGTATTTGTTTCAACAAAGGGTATCACATTCATATTAATTGCAATTAAAGATTGGAACATGTTGATCACCTTTGTTTTGACACATAAGCATTTATCTATCAAGGTTGTTTGTTAAAGGTAGAATTATCAGGAAAAATTTGAACTAAGGGATAGTAAAATTAGTTTAAGTTGGAGTACTGAGGTTGAGTTGGAGTGTTTCACTAAACAATGTTTGTAAAAGTAGTTTTTAAAATTATCCACAAGCATCAGCATAAAATAATTTTTAACTCTTTAATTCCCAAGATCAGATTGTTAATTCCCTCCTCTGGCTGCCTCACATTTCCTTGTAAATTCGTTATGAGATCATGGCGCTAGATCAAGATAGCAGCTTTTACCTGATAAGTTTGAGTGTCCTCATCACCTGTTTGCTGAATAATATATGGATGTTATGGGGAGAAGGTTCATGTCAATCACTTTTGGGAGTTTGAGGGTTAAACCAATTGGGTCAAGACCAGAGTTCTGTTGGGGCTTTGCAACACTGGTGCAGTAGTTGTGTGTTAATCAACACACCTGGTTCTGGGTTGCTACAAAGTGTGAGCTGGCGAGGCAAGGTATGCAAGACATGTCGGCCATGCAAGCCATTGCAAAATAAATTTTTTTAAAGACTTCTAAGAAAATTCCTTAGATGGAAATACATGAAAAATATTATAGTTAAGTATTGTTTTGCAGCTGGAAAATGCTTGCAGAATGAGGGCCATCATGCATTGTGTGGCAATGATGTTTATAAGTTCATGATTAATCCTTTTTTCATAATTTAGTAGTATTATAGAAAGCTATTGTTACATTGGCATTAAGAGAAATTTGTAAAGCATGAAAGGATTCACTTTAATTTACAATTTGTAAGTAAAATAGGATGAAATAGCATTGTTCTTTAATTCTTTAATTTCCAGATCAAATTTGTAATTCTCCTCACTGTCAACCATACAATTTGTACAATGTTAGGTCAGAGAGTTTAGTATTGGATTAACCAATTATCCCAAATTAAAATTTTTCTTTATTCTCATCACTCATCTGGTTGATATTGTATTGATATTGTGAGGAGAAATTCTGTCTTGGTCACTCATGGGAGTTGAAGGGCTAAGTCACAAAGAAATCCCTCAGGGTTCTTTTAATTAAAAAATTGTGTCTATAGCTTGTCTTTATGCCTTGCATGCCTAGCTGCCTTGTGTATTTTGTAACATTCTTGGTCATTTGCATGTCCAATCAGTAAAAAGTAATTTAACAAATCAGTTAAAGGGTATTATTGAAAGATATTATTTCAGTTAGGGTATGTTGCATGCAAAGAGTAATTGCAGTAGTTATATTCAGTATTGCAAAGAAGGGTTTCTTGAGCAACCTAGGCTTTTGAATTGTGTCATTAATTGTGGATATTGAAGCAAAGTCAGGTTAACCTGTGGTTATTAACTTCATACATTATCAGAACCAACTCTTTTTTAGTTTGAAATAATATTAAATCATTCAGTTATTTGCAAACTATCCAATTCACAAACTAATTATAATGATTAATTGATTGATTGTCTTCTTATTTAGTGTACTTTTCATCAAAAAGGCACAGACGTGACACAGGAAATTGTAATAATGGAATCATTCCAGGATCCCCTCACCCCTCAGATGATGCAGACCCCTATATAAATATGACCTCTGGATCTACCATAACAAGAGATGTGGATGGCAGCCACAGATTTAAATGCAATGTCTATTCAAATTTTGCGGCAAATGTAACATGGCTGATTAATGGCATACTTATTTCTCTGGATTCCAAACTGAAAAGGGAGAAATACAAATTTGGATCCTGCAAACGAAGTCTACATGTCACACAAATTTCAGAAGAGGATGCAGGAAACTACACATGTGTTGTGACAAATGAGAAGGGGAAAAGTTATTCAGCTACAGCTAAGTTGATTGTCAAGGGTAGGTAACCATGCCTGGTCTGTAATATAATCTTTGGAGCAAGCTTTTCCCCTCACAACTAAGACCCAAGTATAACACATGCCTGTAGCTGCCAGCTTGCCCTAAATTTAAAGGAAAAACTATTATCCTTAAATCATGGTGCAGACTGAGTAGGCTCAAGTGCTATATTTAGAGTTATCTCTCTATTGTGTGTCAGACTGGTTTAGAAAACTGTTGTCTTCAATCATATGAAATGATCTCATAAGACTGACACATGTTAAAAGCAAACTAATGCATTTTAAATTGATGCTCCTCATCAGCACACTTAAACACAGAATTTGAACAAATATGAGATTTGACCAAACATGAGATTTGACCTCTTCTTTGCCTGTGAAAGCAAAGAACAGTTGGAGACGGATGATAGTAGATTTTGGGTAAAAAAAAAAGAACAGCAGAGAATTTTGGCAGACCTTTCAGTAAATAGGGTAATTATTGTGGCAGGGCTGTGGCCATGTATTCTATTTCCTAAGACATTAAATGAGTTATAATGTCATCTGTGCATTCAGCTGGATAATGGAACTTGTGAGAAAGTAAAGAAATTAGCAAAGTTATTTTTAGAACCTGAAAAAGGAACAGACATTAAGAAAAATTTTGAAAGTAGATTGATGCAGATTTAATATATTTTTACTGCTGCATTAAGTACTGGGGTGTAGGCTATGAAATCCTTATTATTTTGCTGAGTAAAATTTTTGTGAGACAACCAAATTTTGGTAAATTGCATTTAATTGTTGGTTGAAACATTCGCAGCCATCAGTTTAATTTGAGAATGGAATTTTTGTACAAACCTTTCTGCATTGACCTTACTGTACAGGCTATAGGTTTTAATTCAATCTTAGGGAGCTATGAATGTAGAAGAGTGAAAAAATTAAAATTGCTTGAAAAAAGTCATCAAATTTGCTTACAAAACATTTTGTTGTTGGTGCTGATGGACTGGAACTGCAGGATTAAATACAATGAAATCTATTATCATTGAATACATTGACTTGGCTTTGAATACGAGGAAAAGGTTTGAGTAACATTTGATTCTTACAAAGTTGTCTATTTTAATTTTAGTACCAAGAGGCCCAGTTATAGAGTATGCAAAACTTGATGGTTTGGACACAGCTTACATTGGAACTACAGTCAACATCACTTGTAAAATCCAAGGCTTTGATGGTGTGATTGGCTATTTCTTGAAGAATGACATAATGGTAATGGAGGATGATGAACTACAGAAGTATGAATATTTCAAGCCAAGAGTAATAGTTACACCTCCCAACTATGTTTTCCATCTGGAAATTAAGAATGTCACCATGGAAGATGCAGGAAACTACACATGTAAAGCTTCCAAATATGGACTGAAATCAACAAAACATTTCTTCTTGAAGTTGGTATGGTAAATGACTCTTTCTTGCATTTATTGAGGTTTTTTTTACACAGTACCATCTACTCTGTGTGGTGATGTATCACCTGCTAATTTTTATGAACCCCCAATCTTATTCTGCTTCCCTTCAGAAATACATGTCTGCAAAATAGTATCCTCTACTTAAAGTTTTGCTATTAATATTAATTATATGTTCTCATCAGCTATTTTGTGAGTGTGTTGGTATTCATTTTGGTCATGCTTGAAGTTAATGGTCTTATAAGATAAGATTGACTGATTCCTACTTGTGATGACTATTTCTCATTCCTGACTTTTATATTGTAAATCTAAAACATCTGTTTGTGTGGATTTGATCTGGAAATCTGTTAGGGAATTTCACTGTTTTCATGATTTGGAAATAAATGTAGCTGTTTTCATTAACTAGAGAAGAATTGAAAAGCCCTCAACAGAATATTGGGCTGAGTTGAAAGGGAGTAGAGTTGGGTTAGACACTGTTGAAACTAAAAATGTGTATTTTCAAGGGGGATTGTTTTCCAGCTCTGAAAATTCCTCCCAACTGAGCTCCCATAGGACAATGAAGCAATATCACAGTTTTTACAATTAATTGTTTAGGGATTTTTCCCTTAATTTAATCCTTTCACTCCCAGGTGCAAATAGTGAGTAGTTTCTTCCAACACTAATCCTTAATTTTTCAAGCAGAAAGGTGATGACAAAAATGAAACATCTAAACTTAAAACAAGTATCTCAGAAGACCTTAATTTATAAAAAAAAGTTATTTATAGACAGCGTAGAGAATTGATATTTGGATCCAGGAGACCTCTTTGGCACACCTAGGCTTGACCCTGTCAATCTCAGGAGTGACCCAAATAGGAATTTCTTCTCACTGAATCAATACAATTTCAAGAAGAAATGAAGTGAGAAGAAACAGGAATATTCACCAGGTTATACTTTATTGTCTTATGCCTAGATTCTCAGAACTGAAAATATTATAAACTTATTGGGTTCAACATGGAGAACTGATTTGTAAATCTTGGGAGTTGATTTATTATTGGTGTCTTCCAGCTGCATTACAAAATTTTATGATATTTATGATCCATGCATGCACAAGATCAAATTTTCCTTTGTCATTTGAAGTTTACTCTTTGGGTTTCACAAACCAGCACTCCAGAAGATGTCTTTAGCTTTTATGTTTTGTTTACTCATTTTAGGTCATGTGATAATATTATTTTTCCTGGAGAACTGATGTTTCTTTCGACTTTCCTCTCATTTACATGCATATTTGTATGCATGTATGTACTGTACGCATAATTTACAAACAGTAAAGCTGGAAATTCTCTTGAGACTTGAAATTGGTAAACAAAATATGCAAGCTCAAGATTTCTACTGCAGAAATCATTTTGGTCATCATGGCAGGTAGAGAAAAATTTTGGCTACTGATTTTGCAGTCTGTGAGAGGTGCCAGTTTGGGAACCTGTGTTTGGATAATATGAAGGAAGTTGTGATTTTTTTTATTAGTTCATGTTTATGCTCCAGGGTCAATTGAGGAAAACATTCTCAGTGTTGACCTATATGAATTTATTTCCTTCTCCTTGAATTCCGAAGTACACTTTTCTCTCTGTGAATATTTTATTTCCAAGGACTAATGTTTTTTTCTGGCCACCAAATAGTGAATCCTTACAAGGTTTAGCTCAGAGCTATAAAGATATACCTTTTTAAATTGTATGTTTTATTTTCCCTATGGAAAGCTAAAGGAAATTCCCTCTTTTATCTTTTGTAAATTATGTGTTCATTGGGAAATTAGACATAAAGGTATAGGTAACTGTTGTTTTGTATTGTATTGCAGAACCATGTCCAGCGGGTTTTTATTGCCCTCCAGGAGGACGTGGTCGCATTTCATGTCCTCAAGGAACATACCAGCCGACCACTAGTCAGACATCTGAACAGGCCTGTAAATCATGTCCAGCAGGTTTTTATTGCCCTTTAGGGGCAACTAGTCTCATTCAATGTCCAATAGGAACATACCAGCCAAACATTAAGCAGACATCTGAGCTAGACTGTATAGTGTGTCCAGTCGGTTTTTACTGCCCTCCAGGAATGGCTGATAGCATTCCATGTCCTCAAGGAACATACCAGCCAAACATTAGCCAGACATCTGTGCAGGCCTGTAAACCATGTCCTTTCCTTACCAACTCATCAAAGAATCCAAGTGTTATACAACCAAATGTATATGAAGTTGACTGTCCAGGAGAAGATCCAAGTATTACAAGTAAAGGTACTGCATGGATCTGTAAATCAAAGTACGAGAGCATTTTGCTCTACTTGCTTTTGTGAATCTGTTTCAAGAAACGGTCTGCAACCTAGTTCTTTAACCATTCAGATAAAGAAAATGAAACTGTAACCACTGATTGTGCTTTGGTCTTTTCATTTGGCCTTTGAACCCTAATGGTATCTTGTGATTTGAATTTCATAAAAATATAAATTTTTTTGACTTGTGTAATTCAAATTACTCATTTTATTATCCATTTGTTTTAACCAGAGTTGACTGCAACATCACAAGCTGTCACCAAGATTGCCACGACAGACATGGCTGCAACATCACAAGATGTCAGTCAGATTGTCATGATAGGCATGGGTTGCACTTTTTTTATTATCATAGTTGTAGCACCTCTATCATTATTTATTGCGAAGAAGAAACGTTGGCTGTGGTTCTCTTCCTCAAGACACAGCCATAATCCAGAGTGTTTCCCTTGCCAGCCAATGTTAGATGAGAATGGAGATATAGAGAATGCTGAGTGTGCTGAAGTTTTGAAACAGTTGCCAGAAATAGGTATTCAATAACTTTTTGCAATGTCTATCACAACAATCTAATCTATACCCAGCTTATGATTTTGCAAGAAAGTACTTAAATGAAAGCTATTTAGTCTGTTAGTTAACCCCAGCCCTCTTTCAGGAATTCAACTTCAACGTGCTAAAAACACTTACTTAATTTTTTGCCATACATCAGTTCAACCATGTGCTAATTTGTCTCGTTTATGTTCAAGATGTTTACTTGAATCATATTCATTTTGCTTCACTACATTAATGCCACATCATTTTACCTGTGTTGTTGCATTGTTAAGGTTTGTTTTCAATTTTTACATAGTTTTTTCATTCTGTGTTTTTACTCTGCATTTGTGAGATATTCACTTCTCCCTTTGTGAGTAGAACATAACACTCCAAGATAAAAAAAGTTGTGGCTTAAGCATGAGTTGTGCATTCATCAAAAACCTGGTTGGATTTTGTTTCAGATTATGAACCAAGGCATGACGTGTTTATATGCTATTGTTACAAAGATGTTGGCTGGGTGAAAGAACTTCATGCTGAGCTTGAAAAACGAGGTTTCGAGTGCTGTATTGACTTTAAGACTTTCGCTATTGGTGTACCAATAGTGCAAAACATTACTGAAGCAATTTGCTACAGTAAAAAAACAATTGCAGTACTTTCCCCAGACTTCATTAAAAGTGAGTGGTGTACACATGAGCTACACAAGGCGCTTTCCAGGGTGCGATATCATCAGGTTGTCCCAGTTATGTACAAGAACTGTGAAATACCATTTGCTCTTCAAGACACAACCTACTTGGATTGGGAAAACTGCAATGTGAAACCCTACTTCTGGGAACAGCTTGAAAAAGCCTTAAGGAAACCAAATGGCGAGGCTTACAACAGAAGTCATCCCCAAAATGGAAATCAAAGCTCCACAGTCTCTTCAAGTCTCTAAATGACAGAGCCAGGTAAATTACCTAACATACCTATTTACTCGTGTATAAGTCGACTTTTGCGACCAAAAAAAAAGCCCAAAAGATCACCCTCGAATTATAAACGAGTCATACACAAAGACCTGACCTAAGCAATCCAATAAATTAGCAAAACAATAGCCGAAGTCCGTTAGGAAAACCGAGTTTACAAAATCAGTTCCAATTGCGTTGGAGTTTCGTCAGTTTTCAGCGCATTCTTTGTCAACAAAAAAGTTTGAAATAATAAATTTTACGAGTCTTGAATACAAAGCTACTGGAGCTGATTTCGGTTGTGTCTTCTGATCTGTAGAACAGACATTTTTTCTTACAGTTTCGTTGCTGTTTACGGTGCTGAACTTTCGTTTTCATCGATCAGTTGCTTAGTGACCTGGCAAATGTTGTTGTCTCGCGCGATCTTTTGTTTGTTACGCGCGATCCTTCGAAGCTCTTTGGTGTTCCTTTGGTCTACTAGATCTCCTTTCAATCTCAACAAATAAGATAAAGGTTAGTTAAATGTAAGAAGATTCATTTCAGTGCTATTTACAAAATATGGTAAAATACTTCTCCAGTAAATCGAAGAGCTCATGTGTGCTTAATCGTGGGAATATAAACAAGTGCTAATACACTTCACAGCACTCGGTTACATTTTGCTCTACAGTTTGTTCAATACATTCTCATAAATAAGAGTTTAACTTTTTGGGAAATTTCTATCGGTCTGAATTTTATCTCCTTAACTAGAAATGATGAAGAATCCGATTTTTGTCCTTAAAAATGGGGGGTCGACTCATACACGAGTAAATACGGTACTTAATAATAGACATGAAAAAATTACATGCATCTAGTTGGCTGAAAATTAGTGCATTTTACAAGTAACACAAGTGCAAAGTTGTAAAATGAGAGCAAATTACAAATAGCACATGCATGCTGCCAAAATTTGTCCATTTTGACTTTCTGTGATGCGTTTTTCATTTAAATTATTAACAAGTGACAACATGCTTTGACAAGCAATTTAGTGCAAATAGGCAATTGTAAATTTTTCAAAGATTAGGAATTGCCCTCATCCTATGAGCTTCCTGTGCAGTTTGTTGTCTTTGAAAAATTTACTGCTGCTTATTAACACCAAATTGCACCCAAAATCATGTTATTGCCTATAATTACATAACTTAAACTACTACCATATCCTAGCTTGCTAAATTTAAGTTGAAATTGTGCCTTAATCATGAGGTCTGCATTTTATAGAGATTTTGTACCTTCTCTACTTGTTCGTCAGGAGAAGAAAATGCAGGTTTTTCTTAGCTATAATTTCTTTGGAGATTGAGGTATAGGTGTTCCCTTTTGAGAAAATATGGTTCACTGTAGGGGAGCTTTCTTAGAGGTACATACCGGTAGGCATTTCTTATAGGAATGAGTAATAAGTAATTGTTGTTTCTGAAAAGCCAATGATAATAATTATCATTATAGAAGGCCACATGTAGATTAAGGGCGGATTGATTTGAAGCTTCAATAACCCCCTCTGGGCAAACTCTGGGGATTTGTCTGTTGCTTGTGCCCCAGAGGTGGTGAATTTGAACCATTGCTGAGTGGGGTGGAAGTTTAAATCAGTGGAATACACAAGGCATTTAAAGGTAAAGACTGAGTTTGCTTTTGTGAGTGATTGGCACAATGGGAAATTATCACTTTGTAGAATGATGCTTCCACCAAAAAACCAAACAACAGCATTAAAAACTTTTTTAAATTCAACAATTTTCCTTGATCACACAAAGATTCATTCAACATGTGTGCTTGGGTAGGGCATTTGAATGCAACTTTTTGTCCAGGGAAGGGGGGGAGGAGGTTGTTGAAGCTTTGAGTTGGTAGTGAGACAATTAATAAAGAAAGATAATTACTATTAATATTATTGGTAATGCTACAAGTTAAATATTGAATATTAAATACTATGTTTATTATATAATACACAGTGTTTTGCAAGGAGATGAGCAGCAGTGTTTTACATTATTGCACAGAATCATTTTTATGAGTGTTTAATATCACCAATCAGCACCTTTTGTGCCACTCAGTCAGGTTGATGAATGAATGGCAAAGTTTCTACTAATCTCAATCAGAGATTGTTTGTCAACTTTCCTTTTCAGCAAAGGCCTTTGTTGTTTAAATGATAGACAAATAATACATAGTTGTTCGTAAAAAAAGAATTTCTTCCATATCTCCATATCTTAGCGAACCCAGAACTATTTTCTATTTATTTATTTCTGATATTGATTTAACTTATTGGCTCAAATTTTTGATCTAGGGGATCTCCAAACAAATGTAAGATTTCATTTCAAACAATTTTTAAATCTTTTCACTACCAAGAACTGAAAAGACATTCTGCTATAAGAACTACAGTTGTACCCTTCCAACTCAAACTCAGTTTACTCAAAGCCCCTGGTAACTCAAACAAGATGCCCTGTCCATTTACCCCGTTATTTAGGTCATTTACTATCAGCTAAGTCAAACCTTCCCTAACTTCAACTGTTCTTTGTTTCCCTTTGTAGCCCTAGTTAGCAGGTTTCTTGTGCTTTTTAATCAGGGCAGTTCATGAAAAGTACGTTTATTTGATATACACTTAAAGTCTGGTTCCTTGGGAAACAGCTGTTTTCCCCTTCAGTATCAATGTTTCCTAAGACAAAGGCAAGAGAAATATGGAGACTCAAGGGTAAACAAAATGGAGCTGTTTCCAGGAACCCAGACATTACATGCTTTGTTATACATGCAGAGGACAAAACCCATTGAGTTTTCAGTAACTAGCAGAGAGCTAGTAACAAATTGTCATGAAGACAGCTTAAAAGTTATTAGCCCTCAATTTTTATGCACAATAGTTCACTTAAGCTTTGTTCTCGTCAACTATCAAGCAATGGAAATCACAAGCTACACTGTAACAATCTAATTTTTTTCATAGTAAAAGTGCACATTTAACCCTTTATCTCCCAGAAGTGATTAACATGAAACTTCTCTCTAAATTATCCAAACATATGACTGGAAAACAGGTAATGAGAATATTCAAACTTATCAGGTATAAGTCATTATCCTGATTTAACACCAAATTCTTGTTGCTGATTTTTCAAGGAAATGTGTAGCAGCTAGAGGGGAGAAGTAACAAGATGATCTTGGGAGTTAAAGGGTTAAAGACTAGATAAAATTTTTTAGATAGCTTTTACAAATAGATTACAAGAAAAAAGTTAAATTTATAAAGCCTTTAGATTAGTTTAAGCTTGTTTTCAAAAGCTAATGTAAATTCTATTCTAAACAGATCTTTTTTTTGTTGACAAAATTGAAAAGCAGAAAATTAACGGAGGTCCTTTTAACCTGACAAGAAAAATGATTCTTAATTCTTAATTTCGGTAGTAATCTAATTTTTTGATAGAAGTGTTAAAATTGACTTTTATAGAGTCTATAAAGTTGCAGTTATCTTTTGTGTATTTTAATAAATTAAACATCAAAGTTAATGTAAAGTCACTTTCTTTGCTGTACATCTCAGTGGGGTTCACTTGCACCCATCTGGGATGGGTGGGGAGGGAAGGCAGGGAGAAGTTGGGCAGGCACTAGTACTCCCATGTGAAATACTGTATTTCCTCTAATAAGTTCCCTTGCACAAATGAGCTCCCAACCCCTGAGCCCTTACATCAAACAAGTACTATTCTCACAAGTGACCCCCTCTCCTACCTCACTTTTTTGAATAATCAGGACACAAGGCAATCCCGTTTCTATTGCCACTTAGGCTACATACATCTTTTTAAGTGTCAACTACAGGAGAATAGTTTCTTTTCTTTTCTGTCAAGTAACTTACATTTACTCTTCTACCTCCATATTGACTTCACATCAAAGAGGATAATGTGAATAAACGTTTGTGTTTTTCTCTAAAAGATTTAGGCAAAATAAAGTTAAAGTTTGTTGGAAGGAAACCATTTTAAGTCCTTCCCCCCTTGATTGAGCACTCTCATCCAATAAGTGCCCCTCCTTTTTGCTGAAATTGTAAATTAAAGGGTGTAAACATAAATCAGAGGAAATAGGATAATATTTTTTAATAATGTACGTGGAAAAATTATGCACCTCTGATTGGTTGAAAATGAGTATCCTTATGTAACACCAGTGCAAATAACAAATAGCATGGACAGCCTTTCAAAATTAGGTCTGTCTTATCTTGGCAATGTTTTTTCATGTGCATTATTGACAAGTGATGACATGATTTCTCTTGCAATTTGGTGTAATATGCACTTGAAACTTTTTCATACACCACAAATTGCACTTGCCCTATGGGCTTGTGCAATTTTGTTGTCTTTGAAGAATTTACTTGTGCTTGCTTATTTACATGGATATATTTAACAAATATAAAGACACTTTCTTTGCTGTACATTTAAGTGAGGTTCACTTGCACCCATCTGGCGTGGGTAGGCAGGGGGACAGGGACAAGTTGAGCAGACACTCCCACGTGAAATACTGTATTTTCTCCAATAAGTGCCTTTACTCTACATGTAATAAGCACCTTCCCACAAATAAGCACCCAACCCCTAGGCCCCAATGTCAAACAAGCTGACCTCTCGTATGAGGGGGCCCCCCCCTCTCCTCCTTCACTTTCTTGATTCTTTACACCCCAATATCAGTATGCATATTCTCCATAATGAGTGCAATCCCCCATTCTCTCATGAACCTGGGTAGAAAGGATTTCCCAAAGGTGTGTAGAACTATAAATGTCTCGCACTTCTGTTATACCTGACTTCAGGCTTTTTAAGTCTGTTAACTTACCTTGGATATCTGTGCAAAATGAAGTATCTCGCCAGTCTTGTTCCGAGCACCTCTCCTCTAGAAACTCAACCTTCTTTTGCATCCAGGATCTCTCTTTGTCCTGCCCCCCTCCCCCTCCCCGAGATAGAGAAAGCGGAGAGGAAGGAAGAGAGAAGTCTCTTGTTCCTATTGGGGCATAAGAGAGAAGCGAGCAGAGCTCAAAATTTGCGGATAAATTCATTCTTTGTGCACGGCCCCCTGATTCAATCACATCATTTGCAAGATAAGCAATACCCGACGCTGTGATTGGTGCTGTGATATGATTGGTGCGAGATACATGCCACGATGCGGTAATCTGATTGGTACGAGATACATACCCTTATGCGACGATCTGATTGGTGCGAGCAACACACCACTTTACACGCTAACATAGAGTTACTTTCTTTAATATAAAAAAAAAAAAATAACTCAATAAATTCTACTTCATTGTGTGCCTCTGTATACCTCGTTATCTTTATATCCCACATTAACGGCCTGAAATGATACGTGTTACTCAAATGGGAATATTAGTCTGAGATAAAGGGGGACATACAATGTTAGATCCAAGTGTAACATTTTTTTTGATTATTCGTTCTTGCCTAATTTGTTTTTCCTTTGCGTACGCAAATTAGTTTATACTTCTTTTCGTCCATTTGTTTAGTCTTCTTTTTTGGCGTTAATTTAGGTGTTTATCTCTTTCTGTCAGTTTTCGTGCCCTCGTTAGCGTTTCCGTGCTGTTTCATCTTCATTAGCGCCTTTCTATAGTTTTATTTTCCGCATGTTCTAGCGTATTTTCATATCGTAGTTTGTCAGTACAGTTTGTGAGTTCAGTTTGGTCCGCGCTTAGCGCAGTTCTGTTTAGTTTGTTTCTAGCCTCTTCGCGTTATTCGCAGTCCTCTTTACAGAAGTTTTCTCTGGCCAAAACAATGTAAATGTACTTCACAGTCCTCGTTTTGCAGTTTTGTTATTTCTTTACTCTAATTTACCTTAGTCGCAACTTGTAACTTTTTTGCTTTTTTACCGTTTTAGTTTCAAACCACACTCTTAGTACCAAGCACGTCGGCTCCAATAAATCTTTTTCTTTTTATTTGGTTTGTGGTGTTATTATTCAAGGCCAGGAGTCTTGCAGGTTTATTGCAGTTTCATACAATGTTAAATTTGATCCGTAGAAAACGTCCAAGCTCGTGAGGATTGCGTAGAAAATTGAGTACCCTTTGGTACATATTTACGCGCACTATGTAACTTAAAGAGGGACAGCATGCCAGTTTACAAAGAAGACATTTCGTGTAAACACCTAAGTTATGTAGCTTTAATTTCAATTGGGATTATAAATTATAATAAATACATTATTTATACATTATATATGAATAAACCTGTCATGCTAGTAAGATTTTAATAGTAAGGTAAAACTTGAAATTTAAAGAATTGGTGATTTAGAGCCAATTTTTTAAAATAAATTATATTATATTAAGAAAGTTCCATCTAGATAGCCTCTAAAATTGTATTAATATTTTTCATATTTGTTAGCGGAGCTCGTACCGTGCGCGTAGCTCCATACTAACAAAAACTGGTAATCAGGGATCAAGCCTGGAAAATTTGGTAGCGTGCGACTGCATGAAGAAGATTCTAATTCAGCATGCGCGGCCGGCTGCATTGTGGGCACATCTACACCACCTTGCTCATGTGCATGGGAAGTTTCAACACAGCGTGTTTGAAAGACTTGCATAAATCTCAGGAGCACTCTCCTCGAGGTTAATTTGTTTGGTGCTTCGTTAAGCATGCGTAAGCAAGCTGCATTGCAGGCGTATCCACGTCACTTTGTGCTGAAGCACAACGCGTGTGTAATGCGCAGAGTCGAAAAGTTTCAGGGTTCGAATTTTATTTGGCGCAAATCACTGCACCTTGAGGTGGAGTACTTCTGCAAAGATGGCGCATAGGGTACCAATTTCCATCGAAAGTGACAAAAGCACTTTTTGGTCAAAAGCAATGTATAAAGAAGACAGCTGGTGTGGAAAGCATTCACTCGGAAAACTCCTAGACCACAAAAGATTCATGGGCAAAGTTTGAAAGAAATCGAGTTTTTGAACCGAAATGCTCCGGACAATGTCAACTTAGAGAGACTGCGTCCAAGAACCTTATCAAATTTTACTGGGCATTGTGGGAGCGCATTAAAATTGTCCAGTTCTAAATTTTCTGCAGCAAATAATCTTTGACAAAGGTTGTTTCAGAAACTAACAAATTGTTCTCACGCGACATATCAACAGTGCCAGAAGTTTCTGAACTTACGGTATTTTTTAGGGGTCATAAAACACCTAAAACTAACTAAATAGAATGGCGCGTTTCAACCCCTTCCTTTATATTTTTCTGTGAAATTTACCACTCAAAGCACAGAGGAAGAGTTGTGGGTTTGTTTTATAATAAAAAGATACAAAAATTAGAAAGCAAAGGAAGCTCAAGCATTAAAAAGTTGCTCTTGGTCAGCCTCGCTATCGTGTCTGATGGGGGCTTCAAATGGCTTTGAGCCTTAATTTTCCACGCAAAATTAATTTCAATCTTAAAATAACCATTTCTTAAAAGGAGACCCTAAGTAAGCTTAAAAGTAAAATTTGCCTGCCTGTCCGACCCGACCTTGCCTGCCTGTCCGACCTGGTCCGACAGTTACGGACAATCGCTCTTAACCCTTTAACTTCCGTGAGTGACCAAGACAAAATTTCTCCTTACAATATCAATACACTATTATACGGGCAAGTGATGAGAACGAAGAAAAATATCAATTATGGGATTACTAATTGATCCGATACCAAATTCTCTAAACTAACATAATGAGAATCGTTTGCCAGACAGTAAGGAAAATTACTAATAAGATCTTGGGAGATAAGAGATTAAGTGATATTCCAATATCTGTTTTTTTGATTAATTATGCAACAACGAACTTGCTTTTGTACTGAGAGAATCGTTTCCAATAACCACTTTTACAATAGTATTTTAAAGAAACTAATTCAGTAAAGAGACGACTTAAACTCTTTGAAGAGACAAAAAACACTGTGCATTAACATTTCGTTTCACTTTCTAGAGATTTTCAGATCAAGATACGTGATAATTTTTTTCCTTTATTTTGTGCTTGATTCACAACAGCTGTACAGTTCGTCATTCTTATCTATTATATCATACATATCAGCGATGTCATAGGTTGGTTCGCCTGTGAAGAGACTACCGACCTTACGCCTTGTCTCACTTTTTTGCACGCTCTCGCCTCAGGCTCACGCTCCTTTCACATTCCTCTCGTGCTTCTTCTGTTTCCATGAAAGGAATAGGAAACGCGTGCTTTTAATCTAGCGTAGCATATTCTGATTTATGTTATTTCTAATTTTGGCCGTTCAAAACCTTTGTGTCAGCATTTTCGCTTGCAGTCTCTCACAATATTGGTCACAGAGGAGAAAGTTTCCCTTCCGCCTTCATTACTTTTATCAATGGCCGAAATAACACGCTAACCACGCAAGCTACATTGACGAAACTTCTTTGATACACCAGCAAGGATAAAAAACTAAAAGCACGAGGTAAATCTCTGCTGAGCGACCCTTAGATAGCAATCAATTACGATTAGATTAGGCGCGAAAACGTCGCCGTGG